TTAGACATCCGATCCCCCTGGCCTGCCATCTGGAAAGGGCATCCGAGCGGCCAGAAGTCAGGTCACAGCTGGTGGAGGGACATCCAGTGATGAAAGGGTGATCGAGGAAGGGGCTGAGTGCCTAAGCGTCCCTCTTTTCCTCACCCCGTCCAAGGCAGGAGGCAAAAGGAGAGAGGGATGCGTCTTCCAAATGCCTGAAGAGTCTTTGGGAAAGGGTTGCCAAACGCCTGACCTTGAGCATAGCCTGTTTTGAGAACGGCTGCTCCTTATTCTGGAAGCAATATCCCCTTAACGTTAAGGCTTCTGAAGGCCCTCTTGCTAGGGGGCTGAACCTTGTGCCCTAGGCCTTAGCCATCCTACTGGGATGCAGAGAGGTTTGGATTTATGTCTTAACACGAATACATGTCATTTGTAGGATTCAGTGGAAGTCCAGGGAACCTCCAGGACCCACAGCCTGGAAGATGTGGAGATCGTTCCCGATTGGGCAAGGTATCTGCTCGCATCTGAGGGATTCTGCAGCCCCCAGGAGGATGGCTGTAGTACCGTCTCGGATTAAAAAGGGCATGGGTAACGTCCACACAGAGGAGGGGTAGATTTCTCTTGGATGCATGGTCAGCCCCCGGGACAGGGAGCTTCTCTCTGTTCTCCTTAATCAATGAGTTGGGGGGGGCCATTTGGGGCCAAAGGGGGACCAGATGATGAACATGAGCATGGAGAGCATGCTTAAAGCACAGTAAAGTAAGCAAGCTTCCAACAAGGTAAAATGGCACAGCACAAAAGGAAAAGGGAGAGGTGGGAGAAGGAAAACAAAATCCCTTCATCCAATCCGCCAGCCCAGCCAGTCGCAAGGGCTACTGCTTGGCTGATTGTGGAGAGTCCTAAGCCTGTGATTCATCTTCTTAGGGAGATTCACCTCCTTTCCTTCTCCCCCCTGCTTCTGATAAAAGGGAGGAAACTCAGGTCAAGGCCCTTGCCCTGCCAGCTGACACACTTCCTAGAGCATGAGTGTGGCCACTCTTGTAAG